GAGCATGAAATGGAGAACTACAGCATGTACTGCGTGAGCTGTCGAACCCCAGTGTGCTATCTGTGCCTAGAGGAGGGCCGGCATGCCAAGCACGAGGTGAAGCCGCTGGGGGCCATGTGGAAGCAGCACAAGGTGAGCCCCCGGGACGCGGGAGTGCAGGTGCCAGGGAAGAGGGTATGAGGAGAAAGGCTCTTGGCCTCTCCCTTGGAGAACTGGCAGAAAGTTGGTCAGAGGGTCAAGCAGGAATTACCTCACTTATTAGCCATTCATTCCATCAGATAGTCATTTGACAAACACGTAAGAAACTCTAGGTACTCTGGACTGGATGCTGGAGATGGGAAAGGTATGGAAAGATGACTTATTAGGTCCCCACCCACCTGAAGTTTTAGGATTTATGTAGGCACAGGGCACCCAAAACGCAGAAACAGGGCTCTTTTACTCCCAAAGTCTGACTAATAAGTTACCTTGATGGTCCCTTTTGAGTTAAAGCATGCAGGATCTCCTTTTCCCCTCTGCCACTCTCAGCAACTTATGGCTGGCAATGTGTCCTTGTATCTGATACTGCGAGAAAGAGACACGCCATCAAAATCTGGTCAGGTCCTTGATCAGACCCCAAGTCAAGACTAGAGTTGGTTTTTCTAACATTCACCTAAATTTCCCATCCAAAGGCCAAAGATGAGCAACTGGACTCTCTTCCCGAGAGGTCAATGAACTAGGCCTGGCAGAGTTAGCATCTTGTGGAAAGGACCCCTAACTGCCTCTGGAACTTCAGACACCAATTATTCTGTGTGCTCTTACCAGTAAACTTTCACTACAGAGGCAAGAGGTCTCCAAACAGCCTGGCCAGAAATAAATATTTGAACTGAGGAGGAAAGTAAAGTAATTGGCCAAGGCTATCCAACTGGAAATAAGCAAAAAGTGAGCACAGATGAAAGGAAGAGACTAAGAAACTAACCATTCCTATATAGATTTGCTGTTCATATATCATTACTCTATAGTATTATCTGCTATAATAAGCATATGTTGTTATTATAATTTAACATTTTAGAATTAAAAATTAGAAAAAACAAATGTGAAACACTTTAGGAATCCACCTTTAAGAGGAGAATTTGCATAATACATAGGAAAAAAAGATAAATATGTAGTCAAATCCCTAGTTCTAGAGCAGTAGCTCTCAACTGGGTCCAATTTTCACTCCTTACCCCAACCCCTCCCAAACATTTGGCAATGTCTGGGGACACTTTTAGTTGTCACACCTAGAAGGTTCCACTGAAATCTAGTGGATAGAGGCCAGGGAAGCTGATAAATATTCTACAGTGCACAGGAAAACTCCCCAAAACAATTATCCAGCCCCAAATGTCAACAGTGCTCTGGAGAGAAATCCTGCTCTATAGTTACACAGACCTGTATCCAAATCTTAGGACTTGCAATTTACTACCTGTCTGAGTCTAGGCACAATTTAAAACCCATTGGAAAAAATATCAAACTTAGACAATTGTGGTAAGGATTAAGTATAATACTGTATGTTGAGCCTCTAGCACAGCACCTTAAATATAATTGATAAATAACATTAAATGTTACTGCTGATTTGTATAGTCGTAATACTTAAAACCAGTGAATTTGCAGAAAGCTACAGGGCAGTAGCAAAGAGTGCTCATTTGGCCTCATTGACTTGGTTAGCTAGAGAAAACATGAGCTGGCAACTTTTGGTAGTGTTTATGCTGAGTCCTAAAATAGCTTTGAGCTGAATCAGAATGGTTGCCTTGAATTAGTTATCATTCATATGACATTTTGTTGCATATTGCTTCACAGTAATTGCAGCTATCTTGCTTATTTCATCTTTTAAGTGAATAAACATCACTTTACAAATACATAAATTACTTGCAAAAAGGGCTGTGACCAATTACCAAGACAAGAAGTACAGATTCCATATCTCACATTCAGATTTCACAAACTGCTAAATCTTCACCACTTAGAGAGCCAAAACTAATTCTGAGTGTTGCCACTCAGATGTTCAGAATTAGTGAAGAGTGGAAACCAAAGAGAATCGAGGTGAGAATTTGCAATTATAAGAGAAATTAAGTGTCTTTCATGGAAAAGTGAGTTGGATAATGAGCTACAGTTTAAAGAACTAAGGTTGTACAGGAAAAATTATTGGTCATCCCTTGCTTGGTGTCAACAACAGTTTTATAAAATTTCCATCCTCAGCCAGCAATGCAAAGTTATGAGGAAATCTGGGAAGCACATGTGATATCTGCCCCCTACAGTGGGCAGTGTAAACTATGGGAATATGACCATGCAGGATCTCAATTTTATGACATCTTCCTAAATCCAGAAGAAACACTACGAGATGCTTTTGTGAACACCTGTTTTCAAGAATGAATAGAAGTGCTGCTGTTCTTCTTCAGCAAATACTATTGATTTCTACAGAAAGGAAAATTACTAAGTGCTTATTATGAGCATTTCACCTGGGGGCTGGCAATTAAAAGAAATGATAAATGGGAGAGCCTTGGTCAAACACTGGTGGTCTTGCTTTGTGGCTGGACATCTAGACCAGCATGTATGCTGCGAGGGTGGCTACTTTTGAAAGACAAACTAGAACACTTCATTAAGACTCCCACTGTTGGCAATTTAAGTTTTACAGTAAAACATAAAGTCTCTGGATTTTGTTGTTGTTGTTGTTATCTAAAAATCTCAGAATCTTGACAAAGCCTCATTGCATCACTAGAACTAGAATTGGGACAGCAACATTTCTCTAATATTCCTGTGATTAAAGAAGCCATCATCAAAGCCTTGCTTTAATTTTTCTCTGGCTTTACTGCAGCTTGCCTTCTGATTAGTGATTCTTAAGTAAAGACATATATACGTGACACTTAAATCTGTTTTAAAACAAGATTTATAATCACCTTTTAAAAGCAGTGTAAAAAACTTTAGGTCTTGGCTAAACACATTTCTATATGAATTTCTTGGGAAAGGATTAACTGTTTCAAAGAGCCTCTGAAGTGAAGATGGGATAGGGAAGGGTAACTGTACAGGAGAGCTTTTGGTTTTTTGCTTCTTGATTATGAAAATCTGTTTTTCCTGAAACTGGAGGAAAGGGTTACTGTGTACCATAGCTCTTTCCTAGTGTGACATGCCACAGAATGTCAACATCTATAACTCCTAACTCAGGGAAAACTCTGACCAGCTGGGTACAGATGACCAGCTCTGAATTAAACTGGGTAGGAGTTGATTCCTAAGTAGGGGTTAGAAAATAATTCTTTTTCTTTATAGATAAGCTCTTCTTCTGGAGTTCTTTGAGAGCCATGGTAAATAGAAAGAGCCTTAAAAGAAAATCTCACTGATACTCCAGGAGTACTATTCCCACTGAGTCAGCACCTCACAAAAGCAAGGGAGAGGGTGTGGCCTGGAAAACTCAAGAAAGACAGGACTTTTTATCACTCGAATGTCTTTTTTTTTTTTAAGAGATGGGGTCTTACTACATTGCCCAGGCTGGTCTCCAACTCCTAGCCTTAAGTGATCTTCCTGCCTTGCCTTCCCAAAATGCTAGAATTACAGGTGTGGACCACTGCACCCAGCCAACTCCCACATCTTAAAGCTCTACCAAAAGGCAGGTGGCTTCTCAGCCTTACCTTATTTTGTAAAAAGGGTATGTTAAGCTTTAAAGGCTGAGAGGAAGCACCTCTGCTATTAAAAGGGATAGCACATACATGACAAAGAACATGTAGTTATAGTTGCACTATGATCACAGGTAAAAATATTTTAATATTTGTAATTCTTTTTTTTTTTTTTTAATATTTTGAGACAGAATCTCTTTATGTTGCCCAGACTGGAGGGCAGTGCTGTGATCACAGCTCACTGTAGCCTCAACTTCCTGGGCTCAAGGGATCCTCCCACCTCACTCTCCCAAGTGGCTGGGACTACAGGCACACCCCACCACCATGCCTGGCTAATTTTAAAATTTTTTGTAGAAACGAGGTCTTGCTCTGTTGGCCAGGCTGGTCTCAATCGAACTCCTAGTCTGAAGCGATCCTCCCACCTTGGCCTCCCAAAAGCCTGGGATCACACCTGTAGGCGAGAGTGACTGCACCTGACCAATGTACATCATTTCTGACGGCTGCCTGCCATTTCATCACAGGCATTTATATTTTATTTCATCAACACCTTAGTACTGAACTTTGGGTTGTTTTCTTTCTTTTGCTGTTACAAACATTTTGTTTGTTAAATCTATGCCTACACTCTTAATTATTTCCTCAGGTTACATTTCTAGATATGGAATTGCTATGTCAAAGGATACCTGACTTTAAGATATCTAATGTTTCCAAATTACAAAGGTAATTTGTAGATTACCTTTGTAGATGACACCTACTTAATAACAAAATTATGTAAACAATTAAAAATTCACGTGAATAGGGACCACAGGGAGAAATGATAAGGTGGATTTGTCTTCTCTCTCATAATTATTATTTGCTATTTTCATTACATTATTGTTAGAACTATTTTTAAAAAGAAGATGACATGTTATTTTCATATTTTTAACT